AAAACGAGTTAGGATATTAAACCTGAACTCGACCCATTTGCCAAATGGGTTGATCCAAATCAAAAAATTTTCCGATCAAGCCAAATATTGATACCCATACTATCATACATCCTTAAACATGTAATGGCTAGGGCCAACAATACTATATATAACATTATTTCACACACACAAATATAAATTTATAATCATAAAAATAATATATTATTAGTACACATATGCCATTACCATGGAAAGTTATAATTAACCTATTGGTCACAACACCTAAATCCTATGATTATAGAAAAAATATCACTGTAATTATATCAAACTAAATTGTCATTTTTTTTTCTATTGATCTCTCATCTCGCTCATTTTCATAAACACACTAAGGCTTCGTTTGGGACGGTTTTTTTTGCTGCTTTCTAAAACAGCTTTTTAATATAAAAATTTCTTCAACTTGAAAATATTATACTAATAATCTGTTTTAGAAATCAATACGAAAACTGTTTCAAACAAAACCTAAATTTTACAAATTATATTTTCTTGATGAAATTATGTATCTTTCATATAATATGGCATTACGAAAATCCTTATAATCGGGGGTATGTAAATAACATAATTATAATAGAGTTTGATCATCATCATCTATAGTCATGTCATATTATTTAATTCATGAATAAAAGAATAAATCTAATTCAGATTTAACTAAATAAGGGAACTTTCCTACAAATGAACAAAGCTGGGCCTCTAAAAATTTGTTTGAGAGGCTTTTAATAGGAAGCAAATAGTCAAGTTTGAGCCACAACCCCTGCTTGCCTGTTTCCTCCAAAACCTAGTTCCATTAAGCCCTTATTCCCCAAATTCAATTAAGGCTCCGTTTGTGACAGCTTTTTCAAATAGTGGCGTAGGTAATCATCTCTCTATCTTAGAAAGCAATGTTTTTTTATCTCTTGTGTGCACTTTTGTGTTTCATATATGATTCAATGGATGAAATATGAATTTGATAGATTTTAATTGAATTTTATAGATAGAGTATTTATATTTGGCCTCTTTTGAGAGCATTTTGTATGATTTTTCATTTGATTTATCTTATGGATTGATATTTATGATGATGATATGGAGACTATTGATCATATTACAAGACAACCTTTTAAGGGATTCAAAAAAATACATAGCATGAATGTTATGTTTATGCTTGATTCATATAAGTTGTAATTTACATGTTTTGTGATGATCCTCAATCCTCATTAGGGGTGTCAAAAATTGGCACGATCCAAAAAACCGACTCGAATCCGACCCAATTTTTTTAGGTTAGGGTCAAGCCGTTTTAAAAACAGGTCGGGTTCGGATCATGATCTTCGACCCGTTTCAAATTCCGGGTTGGATTCGGGTCCTTATTTTTTACTCATAATGTAATCCTACGTATATTATATGATTATGAATGTAATTTAACATGATTTTACATATTACTCATGCACATGTAATATGGACAAAAGAAAACTCAAAATGCTAGCAAATATTGATAATGAATGTACACATGAGATAGAAATATGGAAAAAAGGAAAATCAAAATTCTAGCAAGACTATATTTGGTATTAGGTGATGAATCACCCACAAATAGAAATATATGCAAACAATTTCTTTGTTTTTATTAATAATGGAATGAAATGATTAGTTCTATTATCAGTGTATTGATTATGTACAAGCATGTTCGTTTAACATGTTTACAAGTGATTTCAATGGTGCACTGTATTTTCCCTTAAAAGTCTGCTTGGGAGGGCTGTTGTTTTTTGTAAAATTAATTGCAAAATAATGATGGGAAAAATATCTTTTTTAGACGCGCGTGCTTAAAAAATAGCTTCTTAATACAATTAAAAAAAAAACAACGAGAAAACATTAGCCAAATGGAATTATGATTGTATTATGAAAAACAAGACAGAAATAAAACTATCCGAAACAAATCCTGAATTTTACGATAGCTTCCATGAAACCTAATAAGCTTATTGCTCACCATATATTTACATATATATTATTATTTTAAAGAAAGTCAAGGAATCAATTAAATAAATGCTAATGAAGAAGATACCTTATGATGGTACATATTCATTTCTATATTTAAGATTACTATACACCATTTTGTTGAACATATATAGAGAATGATCTAAATGAATGTAAATATATATATTATTTTGTATTATTAACGATGCAATCTTTGTAAATGATAAGATTTTGTTTTTGTAAGTGGATTCATCAATTGCCCTATGTGAGTACGTAAATCTAATTAATGTCTAACGTTTCGTTTGAGACAATTTTTTTATCGCTTTATAAAATAATTTTTTAGTACAAATATTTTTTGAAAAAAAATTTTTTGTACTAAAAAATTATTTCAAAAAGTGATAAAAAAGCTGTCACAAACGAAGCATAAAATTATTTATAGAACCTGGCTATTGAGGGTAATAGTACTATGGAAGTTCTAACTGCATTATATTAGAAAATATAATTAATGCAAAAAATGAAGTCTTAGGCTTCGTTTTAGATGACTTTTTTATTGCTTATTAAAATAGTTTTTTAATGAAATTAAATTTTTTATATTAAAAAACTATTTTAAGAGTAGTAAAAAAATCATGGCAGACGATGCTACAGGGACAATGGCCAGGTCATTGGCGCTCTTCCAAGTACCAGAAAGACCGGGATTCCCTGTCCTTCCCAGTTCCCACTAAGTCTGGAAATGTTTAAACTGTTTTAATTGGATGGTTACAGGGAGAGCTTACCATTGCTTTGGTCGACAAAGTCTCCTTTCCAACTGCTGATGAATAGAGACCGTTCTTTAGGAGCAGAACCTTTTCAGTAAGATCTAAGCTTCAGTGTTCGTTAGAAGCCTAATGAATTGGAATATAAAATACCAGCCACACAACTCTCCTTGGCCTATTGGTTGAGAGCTTAGGCTTCCAACTAAGAGGTCCAAGGTTCGAGTCTATGTGTATGCGTTGTATGTGTTTGCCTTTAATGGCCTAAATGTCCCAAAAAAATAAAATACCAGCCACTTTTATAACGGTTGTTTTTTTATGTTGATAGGAAATTTAGACTATCAATTAATGTTTCGTTTACGATTGTTTTCTTACTATTTTTAAAACAAATTTTTAGTACAAAATCAAAACTTTTGTACTATGAAACTGCTTTAAGAAACAGTAAGAAAACCGTCCCAAATGAAACTTAAAAGATCTTGAATTTGATGTTTGTACATGTGATATATGCATGTGCATGAAATTACTTTTTAAATATTGTATCTTATTAAGAGTCAAATTCTCATTTCGTAATAAAGATAGGTGATTTCTAATACTTTATAATTAAATCTTTTTAGTTCTACCTCTGTCTTTCTTAACATAAGCTAGATTTCATACTTATACTCTCTTAATCGAGTCATCACGAGGAGAAATTATTACTTGCGGAGTTTGGACGGCATCCAGACTCCAATCATAAACGACCACGTAGGCATTACACTGTACAAATACAGCTTGTGTATAAATTGAACATAGTGTGTGTACAGGTTGACATGACCTATTCTGATTGGAGTCTGGACACAAGCTACATCTGGACTCCGTGTGTAATAATTTTTCCATCGCAAGGTTGAAATATGTGACCAAACCATTTAAGATGGCTCTCTAATCTTATGAGCTATGGGAATTACTCTAATCTTTTCATGTACATATTCGTTTCACATTCTATCTATAAGAGTAAACTCATCCACCTGAGTATCCTCATCCTTGCAACATTTAATTTTGTGTTTCTCTTATAATAATCAACATTCTGCGTCATAAAATATTGCAGGCCTTATAGAAAAAAAAGCCAAATTTGATAAAAAGTTGAAAAAAACTTTCTTATCACAATATTTATTTAAGAAATGAAAAACTTTTAATCCTATAATTCTTGCGAGTTCACTCACTAAAACCTTGGTTTATCACCTAGCACTTTTAACATTCTTGTTTATGATGTGTAATAACAAATCTAACAAATTAAAGTTTCATTTGGTACAACTTTCTTACTGTTTTGCTTTTCAAAATGCAATCATAATTTCTATTTTGCCACTTTTTTTAAAATGAAGCCTTGGCTTCGTCTGGGATGGCTTATTTACTTCATTTTAAAGCAGTTTTTTAGTATAAAAATTCATAGTTCTAAAAATTTTTATTCTAAAAAACTATTTTAGAAAGCAATAAGAAAATTGGCACAAATAAAGCTTAGGTTTCAGCCCCAAACATTTGCTACTTGCTAACTACAACTATAATTCCTTCTTCCTTCTGGTTCATTTACTCTAATTTCATGGGCGTATTGAGACTATAATAGGCTTCCTCACTTTAGCTAACCCCATTGTAATTAACTCATCATTTTCTTCTTTTTTTTTTTTAATTAGTTTTGAGTTTAAGATATTTTCATAGATATCTCTTAGAATTTTAAGCCATTGAAGCCTTCTTGGGAACGAGGAGTGAGTTTATTGAGGGAATAAGGTTTGAGCCACAAAAACAAAGACAACCAAAGGTGCATAGATGATTATAGGAAGCTGGAACTTTACCGTGAACTTTTTGATAGGGCATTTGAAAGGAGAGAGATTTAGTGGGCAAACGATTAATTAGGTAATTTGCTGTGGAAACAGCTTCAACCCAAAAGGATGAGGGGAGGTGGGAAGCGTGAAGAAGAGTTCTGGTGAGGTCTAAAAGATGTCGGTGTTTATGCTCCTCAAGACCGTTTTGCTCGGGGGTATGAGGGAAACTAATTTGATGTGTAATATCGTTATTTTGAAGAAATTCAGTGAAGGCCTTGCTGGTGAATTCACCACATCCATTTGAACGAAAAACTTGAGGATGCGTGTTAAAGTTGTTTTTAATGAGAAAGCAGAGGTGTTGGAATTTGGCAAAATATTCACCTTTGGAATGCATGAGATATAACCAAGAATAACGATGTAATCGTCAATGAATATTACATAGTATTTGTAACCATTTAGTGATGGGTTAGGGGGAGGACCCCAAACATAAGAAAGAAAGAGAGTAAACGGTTTTGACGAAACAGTTACATTTTTATTGAATGGGAGTTTGTGGCTTTTAGCCACATTACAAGAAGTGCACGAAAAAGAAGATTTATAACATAAGTCTGGAATATGTGAAGCTAAATTGGAAAGAATGCGTTGGTGAGGATGACCGAGCCTCGTGTGCCAAAGAAGAGTGTTCGAGGTAGTGGCTTGAAGAACAATATTGGTAGGATGAGGAGGGATGCTGATTTGGTACAGGCCATCATGAAGATGACCAAACAGAAGAGGTCGAAGGTCCTGCAAATCCTTAATAACAAACCTGTTAGCGTCAAAAGAAATAGAAATATGATTGTCAGTCGTCAATTTAGAAATATAAATGAGATTATGAGATATAGAAGGAACATGAAGAATTTTGCGAAGATTGAACTTACGAGCAGAATCCAATAGCGGCAGAAGTCCTTGTCTAGTATTTTGAATTGGAACAGAGTTTCCGTTTGCAATAAACATGGAGTCCAATCCTTGATAGGGAGCTAGATGTTGAATGTTCGCAAGATCGGGTGTTAGATGAGTTGAAGCACCTGAATCAAGCACACAGTCAGTGGTGCAGTGAGGGTTTTGCTGAGCGAGCAGCGCGCGTGAGGTCGCAGAGGTGGGAGGAGTATAGCCAAGATTACACCTATGCCAATAGTTGATTGCAGAATGTCCTAGTTTGACACATATTTGGCAAAGCGGACGTTCTGGGCGACTTTGAGCTGGAGACGAGACGGACGATGCTGCCAACGGTTGATTCGAAGATGTCGGGTTCGGTCTATTTGATGAAGATTTGTTTCTTGAGTATCGATTGTTTCTCTGACCACGAGAGAATGAGTTACGATTCGTGTAAAGAGCCACGGAATCGGGCTGACATTGAATTCTTTTTTATGTTCATGCTAAAGATCGATCTCCTCACTACATAGAAGTGAGTAAAGAGCATCAAGGTCGATCGGTTGCTGTGATGTTCGAATGACAGACTTGAACGAATTGTGGGTAGAGAGGGAAGTCCATTGAGGATGTACAAGATTATGTCCTTGGTGTCGAGTTTTGTACCGACTGCGGTAATATTGTCGACAAGAACTTTGATTTTAGTGAGATATTGTTGCATAGAATGATCCCGCATTTGAATGTTGTGAAGTTCGCTTTTGAGTTGAATCACACATGAACGATTTGTAGGTTGCAAATGCTGTTCAAGAATCACCCAAATGTCATGAACAGAGGAAGAGGAGATGACATAGGAGAGAATGGACGGAGAGATGGTCGCAAGAAGAGCATAAACAAGGCTTCGATCCATTAGACGCCATAAGGCATAGTCGGAGGATTTGGTGTCGGTAGGACAAACCCAGTCGCCGGTGAGATGATCGGCGAAGCCATTTGCAGAGAAATGTTGAAGAAGTTGAAGCCTCCAAATGGCATAGGTATCATTTGTGAGTTGGGTGGGAACAAGGATCTTGAGATTTGAGATCAAGAACTTCAAAGGTGTGGGAACGACGAAATCGGAAAGAGAGTTGGAGAGATTGGAAGAAGAAGGAGGAACGGATGCCGCCGAATCTTGATCCGCCATTAATGGTGCTCTGATACCATGAAGACCGGCTGGACAGAGAAAGAACAAGCCAGACAGAAGAAGAAAGGCACGGTGAAACAAGAATAGAACTATGTATATTATATCATGTTAAAGGTACAAATGTAAGCTATATATAGATAGTACATGGTAAAGAAGTAAATAATAAGCCATATAATGCTGATGTGTAAAGGTGAGTTAACAAGGCAGCGCGAACGGAAAGGCCAGGCGGGCAACAACTACTGCTGGCATTTTTTTAAATTATTCAAGCGGACAAATTCCGCCGGAAAAATTTTCCAACGTGTGTTTTACCGTCGAAAAGTTTTCCACCGGAAACTTCCAAATCTGCTAGAAAATGAACAAATTGTCGCCAGTAAAATGTGATTTTCATGTAGTGTCATAACCAAACAAAGATGAAGCAATTTTCAAATTTCAAGCAAGCAACGCATTTCTTATGCATTTGAATTGAAAAAATATCTTATTATAAATACTAAGACCCCCTCGCGGTACATAATCTACAAATTGAAAATAATAGAGATTAAATGAACATCAAGCAACAGATTAAAAAAGAAAGTGGGAATGAACATCGAACAACAGATTAAAATAATAGAGATCTAAATGAACATAAAACAATACCATAGAAATCTCAATGCAAATTATCCACAAATGTTGCAAACAACGAGCACAATTATTACAGTAGTTACACTTACAAGATCTACAGCAGTAGATCCTTCATCCAATCAAGCTTCCTTTATTGCTCGATCAAGCAATAAAGTGGGAAAAAAAGAAGAAGAAAACTAAGACAGAATGAGAAGCAAATCAACATCCAGCCAGATGATCTCATGAGCTAAATTTCATAGTCATTTACAGTAATGAATCTTCTATATTTTGAGCGTTTGATGACCTTAGCTACAACCCTCCAGTTCTCAATCTGCTGTGCTAGTGGCCTCGTGTGTATCTTTACATGCCCACTAATTAAGGTTCTCTGAGGCACTTTGAGGAATTCCAACACTTCCATCATTGTTTGCTAAAGAACAGAGAGTACCAAACAGATAAGAGTTTAATCAAGTTACAAGTGTGGGAATGTAGCTTTTTTATTTATTTATGTATAGTTTAAAAAGGTAATAAAAAAGTTCTTATGTTCACTCTAATTATCACATCTAATAAATTAGAATCTATCACATCTAATTATCATTTTATTTTCTAATAATATTGAACGATAATTCTTAACATCTGTCCTATTAAAATTATATATTATATATTCAATCTTATTTAGATTGATATCAAGTCATAACCTTACATAAAATCTAATAAGAACATTAAAAAAAAATTAAAAAGAAAAAAATCTAATAAAAAACATTAAGAAATATATTTGGATAGTTGTCTATTTTTATCTCCTTAAGATAAATTAGTGTTTTTGAAATTTTGAAAACACTATAGGTATTCTCACCTTTCTTAATGACTTAATATAAAAAATAAGAACAAACACATGTCCAAACGTAACATGATAACAACATAGAAACAAAGCAAAAATATATAAATATAGGAGTATAATATCAAGAATATATTTTAATAAATTTGAAGTTTAATAGATGCATATTTTAAAATATTTTTGACAAAATATGATACATGAAAAAAAAAAAATCAATGATTTGAATGGATATAATGCATGGATTTACTAAGTTTCAAAGAATATAAGTGCTCATAGGTTTCACAAAGCTTTGTATCGCTTACAGTCTGATTCTGAACGAGATCTTCATAATAGACAACCATGTGGCGAGTGCCTCTGAAGTTTTTCAGTGTATCAGTAGCCAACCTTTCCATATGTTCCAGGGCTGGGATTAAACGCTTTGCATCAAGTTTGGGCTTGTAGCTTGCAAGGATTTCAGCCTGCATATAATAAGTTGTTAAAGGGGAAGAAAAAGCTTAGTTAATTGCTTTTGAAGTATCAAACAGCTTCATATTTCAAGCATAAGTGAGATTTATGGACCTCTTGTTTGGAGCTCACATGAGCTTTATGAGCCCCATTCAATCCCTTGACCTTACCATCGTGATTGTTTGCTTTTTGAGATACCAAACGGCGAAGATGATTTCTTCTGAGCAAGAGTATTACTGAGACTCCCCTATGGTTGAAGTAGTCCACAATCCCTTCATGGTTATCCAAGATTCCCTGAAAAAGCCAAGGGATTTAGGGTAATAAAAAACTGTAGGGAATTAGTCTAACCTCGCAGACTCATTGAAAAACAGAAATTTGTGGGGAATATAATAACTATACTGCGATTTGAAGGAGGATAAAGTGATAAACATAGCATGCACTTCGTATTATTTGTTAACTTGGTGATATCACATGCCTAAAAGCTATTAACAACACTGATATTTCTTGGGATGATGATGTGATCGATTTTTCTGGACGGAAACAAGAGCTGCAGCTTAGTGATGCGTAAAAACTATCCAATCGTATAATTAGAATCTGAATTGGACTAAATTTGTTTGGTTTAATGGGTAGGCTGATGCAACCTCCAGCAACCTGCAAGGTGACAACCTGTTCAGGCCGTGAGGCGTACAAGAAGGAGACAGAACAAATGGAAAATGTATTAATTCATATTTGAATATTACAGTGCTACAAAGTACATTGTGTAAATGACTATTTATAGATAGCAGATTAATCTGTACATCACTAGGATGTTTACACGTGTATCAAGAATTACAACGGTCGTTGCTGTACTTTCTTTGGTTTGGAATTCTCTAGACTATTGGTCTTTAATATCCCCTTGCAAGCTGAGGACTCAATAGGAGTTAGCATCTAGTTGGCTAGAAGCTTGAATCTTGAAATAGGTAGGGATTTGGTAAAAAGGTCCGCCAGCTGATCCTTGGAGCAAATGTGATGTACATTGATGTTTTGATTCTTGATACATTCGCGAATAAAGTGACAGTCGATCTCTATGTGCTTGGTGCGAGCATGATAGACTGGATTATTTGCGAGGGCAATTGCGGAGGTGTTATCACAATTAAGAGTAGTTGGTGCTGCTTGCGGGATGCCAAGCTCTTGAAGAAGTCATCGAAGCCAAATGATTTCTGTGGTAGCTGCGGCAATTGCCCGGTATTCGGCTTCGGTAGATGATCGGGCTATGGTTGTTTGCTTCTTAACACTCCAGGAGATGAGTGTTTCACCGAGGAAGTTGCAATAACCCGTTGTGGACTTGCGATCTTGCTGATCACCGGCCCAATCGAAGTCAGAGTAGGATCAGAGGATTAACGAGGAGCCATTGACAGTGACACCGTGGTGAGTAGTGCCGCGGATGTAGCGTAGGATTCTCTTGAGATCGTCAAAATGCTGATCAGTAGGTTGGTGCATATGTTGGCTAGCACGGTTGACGGCGAAGGCGATGACGGGTCGTGTAAGAGTTAGGTATTGTAATGCACCTGTGAGCTGCCGGTATAGGTTGGGGTTTGAGAAGGATGCAGACGAGCGGTTGTGAGTGGTCTTGATGGACATTGGTGTGGCAACAGCCTTGCTATTTTGCATACCTGCTCGATGAAGGATGTCTTCAGCATACCTGGATTGATGCAGGAGTAGACCGCACGGTGTAGTTTCGGCAGTGATGCCGAGAAAATGATTTAAAGTGCCCAGGTTCCTCATGTTGAACCGAGTATGCAGTTTGTCCAGTATGTGTTTGATGGCCAAGTCATTGTTACTCGTTAGTATAATATCGTCGACATAGATTAAAACATAAATGGTGGAGTTATCTTGTTTGTATATAAGAAGTGAGGGATCAGAATTACTTGTGGTGAACTTACATTGATGAAGAAATCCGGTTAGAGTCTCAAACCATTGACGCGGGGCTTGTTTGAGTCCATACAGAGCTTTGTTTAGTTTGCAGACATGAGACGGATGATTGGAGTCGACAAATCCCGGAGGTTGCTTCATGTAGACTGTTTCTTTTAGTTTTTCGTGGAGAAAGGCATTCGATATGCCTAACTGATGTATGGACCATTGGTGGTGAAGTGCAAGTGTGATGAGAACCCGAAATGTAGGAATTTTAGCAACAGGACTAAATGTGTCAGTATAGTCCAAGCTATATTCTTGATTGTAGCCTAACGCTACGAGACGAGCTTTATACCGAGATATCGTGCCATTGGAGTTTTATTTCGTGCGAAATGTCCATTTATAGCCAAGGGTATGGTAGTGTGGTTGCGAGGGAACTAACTCCCAAGTCCCTTGAGATTGAAGAGCTTGAAATTCGTTAGACATTGCACTGCGCCAGTGAGCAAATTGGGCGGCTTGATTGTAGGAAGTGGGATCGGATTCCGAAAGTTGATGGGTTAGATCAAAGACTTGTTTGGGTTTGAGATGGCCTGTTTGTAGTCTGGTTTTCATGGTGTGTCTGGGTTGGAGAGGTGAAGCAGTGACGGGACTGGGTGAGCTGAGAGGAGGATTGGCTGGTTGTGAGCTCGGAATCTGTGGTTGTTGTGATTGGGGTTGGTGCTTAGTGTGTGTAGTAGAATTAGGCGTGTGTAGGCTGGATACCGGAACAAGAAGCAAGGGTGAGGTGGTGTAATTGGGAGAAGATTTTGGTTCTTTGCCTGTGATGTTGTTGTTGTGAAACGGGAAAAGATGTTCAGAGAAGATGACATGCCGAGAGGTGAAAATGCGGATTGTAATGGGATCGAGACACCTGTAGCCTTTTTGCTGAGATGCATAGCCTATAAAAACGCAGGGTATAAATAGAGGAGATAGTTTGGATTTTGAATATGGACGAAGCCAGGGGTAGCATAAACATCCAAAGGTTTTGAGGTGATTGTAGGAGGGAGGTTTGTTGTAGAGTTTTTCGAATGGTGTGTTGTGCTGAATGGTGATGTTGGGTAATCGATTAATGATATGGATCGCTGTGTGTAAAGCCTCGACCCATAAGGTAGGAGGAGCGTTGGAGTGAATGAGTAAACTCCGAATTGTTTCAAGAATATGACGATTCTTGCGTTCAGCCACACCGTTTTGAGCCGAGGTGTAGGGGCAGGTATATTGATGTTGAATACCCTGTGTTGACAAAAGTGTTTGAAAGTATTGTTTAGATACTCACCTCCACCGTCGGTACGGATGATTTTGATGTTAGTATTGAATTGGCATTTGACCATTTTTGAAAACATGATGAACTTGTTTGTAGCTTCGGACTTGTGAATTAGTGGAAAAACCCAACAGAACTTTGAGAAATCGTCAATAAAAGTAACAAAGTAATGAAAGCCTTGTAAAGAACTAGTGGGGGAAGGACCCCATACATCAGAGTGAACTAATTTAAAAGAACAGTTAGTAATGGAAGAAGAAACAGGAAAAGAAAGTTGTCTACTTTTAGCTACATGGCATGTATTACATGTACTATTTGAAAGCCTAGTACAAATTTTTGAAAAAAACAGATAAGTGTTGCAGTGTAGTTCTGGCCAGGTGACCGAGTCGCAAATGCCACAAGTCCGGTACGGTGGTGACCGAAATTAAAGCAAGATCCGATGTTGGTCGTTTGGACCGGACCGAGTAGAGACCTTTATGGCAGGGTCCTTGAAGTAGTATGCGATTGGTCATCGTATACTTTATTTGATATCCATGACAGTTGAAAGAAACAGTGCAATTATTGTCACGGGTTAGTTGATAAATGGATAAGAGATTGAATGAAAGATTTGGTACTTGATGAATGTTGTTAAGAACCAGATTACCTGAAGGAGTGGGCAAGATTCCATTACCTGTGTGTTGTATGGGAAGCTGATGCCCATTTCCTATGATAACCTGAGAGTTTCCGGAGTAGGGCTCTGGGTTGGTGAGTTGAGAAGAATCAACTGTTAGATGTGAGGATGCGCCACTGTCCAGGTACCAATCCGTTGCAGCTGTGTTTTCTGCGGCGCATAACAATGCGGTTTGTGAAGTGTTGGCCGTGTAGTTTAGATCACTCTGGTGCCAGCACCTGGAAGCTGAGTGTCCCAGTTTGAAGCAGATCTGGCAGGTAGTATTACGATCTGGATTGTTTGATCCGGGACCAGATGAGTTTCTTGTGCCGCGACCGCGACGACCACGGTAGCCACTGTTTCAGTTTGTGCCACGTCCACGGGAGGCAGTTAGCGCCATAGCTGAGTCAGTCAGATGTGTGGCGTTGAGGTCTTTGATGGTTTCTTGAAGTAGGTTCTGTTCTTCAGTACAGAGTAAGCTGTAAAGATCATCAAGACTGAGTGGTTGGAGATTTGTTCGAATGGCTGTCTTGAACGATTGATAGGTAGCGGGAAGTCCGTTGAGGGTATAGAGTATGACATCTTCAGGATCTAGGTGGCTGCCGGCGGCAGCGATCGCGTCTACCTTCATTTTAATGTCCAGTAGATAGGCGGACATGGACTTATCGCCCTTGGTGATATGATGTAGATCGTTCTTTAATTGGATCACGCGAGATCGTGTGGTTGATTGAAGGCGATGAAGAAGAGTAGACCAGATTTCCGAGCAGGTGGTTAGGGATAAAACGTATGGTAAGATTGAGGGAGATATTACCGAGCAAAGTGCAGCTACAAGGTGTTGATCCGTGAGCAAGAGACTTGCCGCCTGGGACTCGGGTTCTTGCGGATCAGAGACTTCGGAGTTGTTCGGAATGGTGATCGTGCCGTCCAAGAACCTTTTGAAGCCATTTGTACAGAAGACCTTTTCCACCTGGGATTTCAAGATCGGAATGTTGTCGGAGGTCAGGGTTGCAGTGATGAGGTTCTTGATATTGCTGATTAGAAATTTCAGCTGGGGCGTGATGACAGGTTGATTTTGCAAATGTGAATTAGCCATTGTGGAAGACGACGAGGAAGACGGAGTAGTCATGAAAGAACCGTGGGTTTGAAATAGAGCGCGGGGAGAGGAGAGGAGAAAAAAAATTCAGATGCCTGAGTTGTACTGCTCTGATACCATGATAACCTGTTCAGGCCGTGAGGCGTACATGAAGGAGACAGAACAAATGGAAAATGTATTAATTAATATTTGAATATTACAGTGCTACAAAGTACATTGTGTAAATGACTATTTATAGATAGCAGATTAATCTGTACATCACTAGGATGTTTACACGTGTATCAAAAATTACAACGGTCGTTGCTGTACTTTCTTTGGTTTGGAATTCTCTAGATTGTTGGTCTTTAATAAGGAACTGATGCAACCTTCAGCAACCTAAAAGAAGAAATGCTCACCTGGAACTAGAAAATAATGAAACAGATCCAAACCTCTGTAATTGTATAAATTTTGCTTCTCTTCTATTGCAATTCCTGTGTTTATGGGATACTAGAAGTAACTTGCTGTAGAATCTTGGATGAGAGGAAAGAGTTCTTCCTCTTGAGCTTCTTGGGAGAGGAGGGTGAGAGATGGAAGGGAGAAGGAGAGCAGGAAATGAAATTTGTATTTCTAAATCATACAAATCTATTACAACCTATTGACTATTTATATACACAACAAGCTACACAATAAGCTACAAATCTAATTTTAAGACCAATATCTAACAAGTCTCCACCTTGGTCCAAGATTTATACATAAAAAAAAGATAACTACTGTTCACAAAGAACAACCTTGCCAGCCTTTCCCACCAATAGAGTCCACCGGACGGTTAACACCACGCACCCTATGTGTCTTTGCTTTCCGCGCACTATGCATCCACCTGCACCTGCGCCATCTACAAGCTTTGACATGGAAATTTTGAATGATAATAATTAACCTGTGACCGTCATCTACATTGAAACGAAAATATGGTTGGATATGATGTCAAACCCATCATGCACATTGAACTGTCTTTAAGGACAAAGCGTTTGCAAGTGGAGTTTGGTTGCAAGCAACCCAGGAGGGTGAAAGAGTTTGTTTAATTGTAAAGTCATGATGTGGAAGCTTTTGAATCACAGTAACTAACTTGTAATATTGGATTTGACTCGTCCATAAACAACAACCAATACGAGTTGTAGGAGATGTGGCAACCTACCTACAATTCATCATACAAAAATCTTTAATGAATGTTGTAGCTAATTCATAAAGGCTCCCCAATTGACAATGGCACCAATGCTATTATTCATATCATAAACCAAATGTTAATGTAATGAAAAGTTATATTGCACGTAGAGAATTGTTTGGAGGTGACAATAAGAAATATGCAACCAACATGTGTATGAAAAGCGTATCATGCTTACAAGTAAACGAAAGAAGCCACCATGAAGGGGAACTTGATTGTCACCAACAACAATCGACTAGTAGATTAATGCATCGATTTGGTGATACCCAACTAGATATGAATGTACTGAATCCTTGTAAGTAATAACAGTAAATGCAAACATACACCTACGACACCCTCTGCGAACAGTCATAGAAAGATCATCGTGACGAGCAACATATATCATAACATCCATCTAGTGAAACGTCACTCAACACTAAGTAAACACATTGAGACCTATACGAAAAAAGGCAAAATGTCTGCAGCTTATTCAAAGTAACTATTATTTGATATAGCAAAGACATCATGATACCCTGCAGTCAACAATTATCCAACAATGGTTCAATACACATGCTATTCCAACTACATCAAGAGTTGCAACAATCATCTTAGGAATGGATATCTCGCATGATTCTATCAGATGGCCCGAGGTGTCTTTGATTGCCGCAATTGTTAGTTCGAGGAAGTGGCCATGGACTCTGAAGTATTGGGCATTGATAAAGATGCAATCACCCAAGGTTGAAATGATTGATTCTTTAGTTAAGCCAACAATAGCAATAAAAAATGGTGATGATGGTATAATTAGGGAGTTACTTTGTTACTTGTTGACTCTCATATGAGTTCTGGGAAGAGAAAGCCAGATCGAATCATTATGAAGTAGGTGAATCTCAGTTCAATGGAGTTTTGAACATTGAGTTGGATAAGACTATTGAGGCTTGCAAGCTTCTTGCTGATTAATGTTCGTGCATCTAACATACCATCCACGGACGAATACAGAGGGGCTACGACAAATACTAGTTCATACTAGTTATCGTAGAAGACCTATCAAATGTACAAAATTCTCACGTATGCACTGTAATCATATATGTACATAGAAGGGCATGTGCAATCATAAACATGCATGGGCCCCAGCGAGCGTGTTATAGGTACACATGCGACGTCTAAAGATACTGTTCGGGCCAATAAATGAACCACATTTCGAGCCCAATCCTTCTATACAGATAGATAGGAGTCGATATGGCTAAAATTATCAAACAGATATATGGTCACGGTGTCGACCAGAATATCTGTTTTATACGTTCATATAAGGCCTTCAAGGTCGATGACAAAAGAAATTCATCAAGAAAGGCATAATTAAAGCCTACAAAATCCGATCCTATGTCGACAACTCGACAAAGTCACCAATGTTCAATCCACAATTAAAAATACCCCTAAATACCCCGATGATGGCCATGTTGATTACAAATCTCAACTGGAGGGGGTAATTTTAAATATCTTCAAAATGCCATCCAAATGCTCATCAAAACTCAAAATTCCACATACATTTTAAAAATCTCAAAACTTCATGATATTTAAAACTGAAATCTAACCTTAAACACTTAAAGCAAAATTAATCTACCCTCCGCAATAGTTTACTGGGTGGATAAAATGAAATTTAATTCAACTCACATAGAGTTGATGCTCAGTCGAAAATATCACTGGGATCCATTCTCAAATAATTTCTTGCTAGTAAAAACGTAGTATGTGTTCTCTAACAATGGTTTTGCCGCCAAATGACACCACTAAATTATGGTTATGGCCAGAGCCAATACGTACCTTAGTGACATCAACTCTTTTAGATATAAATCAATAGGATATGATTAATAGGGCACAAAACCTTTTGTTAGCTAAGATGGATTCAAATTTGTCCTCTTAAACAAACATCCACCCCAGGTCTACAAGATACCCTTGGACGAAGCAACCCATAGCTGCTGACAAGGATTATTCTGTCAGGTTGGGTCGACTACCTCCTCTGACTAAGTAGACCAGGGAACACGATGGCCCAGGACAATAGAAACATGGGATCTTGATCGAGTCCATCATTCATTCCCCCACCATCCATTTTAAGTGCAAAATGGTAAAATTTCCAATTTTAAATATCAACCCATTCAAATTCCAAAACTCATGCTACTACTATATGCCAGATAACATGTATCTCTACATATCTGATTGACGACTAGCCTTACTCAAAAGTTCTCTCTCGTTGTCGGGAGGGGTAATTAATTATAGGGGCTTGTGCCTTTAGGAAACCAGAGCTCAAGATCAAGAAGTCCTTGCCAAATGAGGGCAAAATCTCTTGGTAGTGTTTTATCTACAAACTCATTTGCCTTCCCAAAATTTATCCCGTTACTTTATCCATTAAAACTCTCTTGACAATGCAGCGGGGGAGGTTGAGGCCGAATTTTCGGAGCCTATAGTGAGCTGCTCGATGAGCTCGCGAGTCGAGCGGAGGGCTGTTCAAGCTCGAGCTCGATAAGTTGTTGAGCATAAAATCGTGTTCAAGCTCGACTCACGAGCTCGATAAGCTCGACTCGTCGAACCTATTACCGAGTCGAGCCCGAGCCAGCTCGTGAGCCGGCTTGACTCGGTTGCACCCCTAGGCCCAAGGTTACCTCTAACCTCCTCTAGAGTTTAAGGAAAAAAACAATTCTTATATGACCATGTATAATATGAAAGCTTTATCCTTAAATCATCATGCAATTTTGTAAAGTATAGAATTGTTGCCCCGCCCCTGCGGGAAGTATTGATAAACTCTCTTGCTCTCTTTTACTTCAAATCCTGATTATGCGAGTGTATTTACGGCTACCATGGAACCAGCAAAGCATGAAAGTCAAAAATAATTCTGGGTCAAATGCATTATTAAGCCAAGCACTTGCACCAGCTGTAGTAAATCCTACATATGATGCTCCAATAAAGGAATCGATGGAACAATAAAGATACACAAAAGTTTGCATTGAGACAAAATGAAATATCAGGATAAAGAAAATTTTTTCCTCTGGCAGTGCAAAATTAAAACATGAAAAATCTTAATTTTCATAGGAAGAGTTTGTGCACGTTTATTTCAATTAAATTAACAATTCTCCAAAATGCATATCTTGCTAAAAATTATGCTTCTTATGTTTTAATGAAAAGCTTCTAACTATATAAGATTTACCTGATTAAGCATCCATTTGAAGCCAACAGCAGCCATGCAACTCTTTTTCTTCCTCCTGAAAGTGCTGGCATTCCAGTTGAGGCTGTACAATTTATCCAACACCGTTTTGATCACTGTCATGTTACATTTCCTGTCAACAGTGTAAAAGATCTCCCCATGGGACCTGATATTGTCATGGCTATTGAGCAAAGCTTCAAACCATTTACTCCCAGACCTTTGTGTTGACACAATAGCATAAAGAGAAACTGGCATGCATCCATGTTCTTCCCTGAGAAACACAAGCAAATCATCACAGAAACATTGAAAAATCGATACAATAGAGTAAGTCAAGAATGATTTCATTACCTCCCATAAGCTTTGGTTTTGTTGTAGTTGAAAAGACGAAGTTGGGATTCTGAAAGTTTTGGATCATGAGAAAGTTTTTCTGTTAAATTAACTCCCAGAGGCAAAGTTCCATCTGTTAAGTTAACTTTCACTGTCGGAGGAAAAGTTATCTGTGATGTATTGAGGCTCGCTAAATGGGAATGATTTGCTTCGGTCAAATCAGCCGTCACAGCAAGGGATATATTTTTTTCTGTCAAATCAACTCTCACCAGATTGGTAGGATTTTTTCCTGTTAAATTAACCGTCAATAAATTGGGCAGATTTTTTTCTGTCAGGTTAACTCTCAACAAATTCAGCCGAGTTTTATCTGTCAGATTAACTCCGACCACATGGAACTGAGCCTTTTCTGTCAAATTAGCTCTCATTATATGGAGCTTGCTGGGCTCTTCAATTTGCTCGAGGAAAAAAGAGCAGATACAAACACTGCAGCTCATGGCAGCCGCTAAGACAACCATCTTCAACACCAGCGGAGATTTCTTGGAAGAATTTTCAATGTGAGTATCCTGCAACTATAATGACATAGAAATAAAACAAAATTCGTCTATAGGCACACCATTTAAGACAATAATTGAAATTTACAATACCATGGAAGCACAATAAAAGCCAAATGGCGAGGAATGCTTCCAGATTTGAACACAGAGGTAAAATCCAGATCAAGAACTTACTTCCTTCTGCTTGATTCAAATGGATGGCAAAATCGATACATTCATTGGCTTATGACTCGAAAGCACAAGAACTGAAAAGAAGAAGACAGATTGAGAGCGAACCTTTTTAGGAAAAAAGCAGTATTCCGTCATCTTTATCTTCTTCTTTAACTCCCTTTCTCAAAACAACTCTTAGAAACCAGAAGGAAAGAAGGAATAAAAAGAGCTCGCAGCCTTCTTAATCTTCTCAAAATACAAGGCTTCTTCGGATTTTGAAAAGCAAAATGGCGAGGAATGATCGTCCAGTCTTTGAAAAGGAAGGGCAAATCCAGATCAAACAATTTCTTCTGCTTTGCATTTGACATGAATGGCAAACTACACTTCACACAAGCATAAAAATCGAAATCAGGATGACGAAAACAGTGGCAAATAGTAATATGTGAATTAAAAAAAAAAAAAAAAAAAAAAAAAAAAGAGAGTTTGAGAGCGAAACTTCTAAGGGCAACTGTTGTCTCAAGTGGGCGCAATAGCAGCCGGTGGGTGAGCTTCTTTAGATGCATGGTAACAAATTTCATTTTTTGATGCGGGTAGCACCTGATATTACATAATACCTATTAAGATTTTACCTATTAGCTTTATTAGAAGACTTGTGCCAGCTCAGCCACATGGCACGACCTCTGCCGATAACCGTTTACTGCTTTACTTTTGTTATTTTCAGTATTTTCTTTCTTAGAGTAATTTGGGATGGCTGTTATTATCTTCCCCGTTTGGCTACCAGAGGAGGATAGAAAAATTTGCTATTAGTTTTTACAGCACTTGTTACTGTTCCATTGCATTGGTGTAGTTCTTTGTGCAGCTGCAGGGCAGACGGCGGCTACACCATTTTTTGTTGCGAATAGTACTAAAAAGTTATTTTAAGAAGCAATGAAGGCATCGATTTGAGACGGCTTTTTTATTGCTTCTTAGGGCATCTGCAATGGAATGGCAAACAACTATTTGTAGTTCTTTCGTCGCTCCAACCGAGCGGCAATTCATGGCGTTGCACTATTCACCCGCTAAATTTTTATGTGCCAACGGGATTGTCTCGCGAAATGGAGAGACGGTTACCAGATGACGAAGTCCGCGAAATGGAGTTCGATTGGAGCAGAATTATCGCATTTTGGAATTTTGCTGTATTTTGCAGTGGAAAATGAGTTTTTCGGTTGAAGATGCCCTTAAAATAGTTTTTTTTTTTACTAAAAAGTTGTTTTAAAATGTAGTAAGAAATTCGTCTCAAATGAAGCCTTAATTAAAAATTAAAAAAAAAAAATAAACGCCAACAACAGCAGCAAATGTTTAGTACAAAATCTGAACAAACGTCCTATGCCTGTAAACTTTGTATTATCAGCTTTGCTTATCCATCATTATTGCATGAGATTTTCCTGCAATTTCTCCTTTCTTTTCTTGATTATTCATCGTTATCCATAAATAGTCCGTCACCATCACGATCTGTACTATTAACTTATTAAGAAAACATCACATGGCTGATGGCTGCATCTTCGCCATTTATTTCTTGCCAAAAGAATCAAGCGTTTGCTTATAAATAAATAGACATTAAAAACGTCCCAACTCGCAATCAATTAGATCTTATCACTTAACAATATCAGTACTTTTTTTTAAGAGTATTGTTGCGGGCTAAAATATGCGCGGCGATAGAGTTTATAATTTTATGTCTGAGCGTTGTACGAATATTCAGCACACAAACAGAAAAGAAAGTGAACACCAGAATTTTTATGTGAAAAATCCTGAAAAGAGGAAAAACCACGGGCCACGCCTAGTTGAAAAGTTCCACTAGTGTTGCGTAAATTACAAGAAAATAATTCTTCCCACAAGTTAGGACAATTAGATTACACTAAGTTTCTCTTGAATTAAAACAAAGTTGAGCAAAATCCTGGAGTTTCCCGAATATCCGGCAGAATTCCGGTGTATTCAGGCGGCGGGAAGAACTCCGGCGGTGGTCGAGGAGCTGATTCTCCTTCTTCTTCTCTTATCTTCTTCTCTCTTTTCTCACTTGAGTCCTCTTGTGAAGAATGAGGACTCTATTTATAGTTTTTTTGGAGTAGCATAGCCCGTAAATAGGTGTGAGATCAAGGGCAAATAGGGAGTGGCCGAATGGATGGCTGATATTGAATCCTTCGATCGTGCACCGTTTGTTAGATATTTGAGGGTCTTATTGATGTCGGAATCCAACGATCTTGGGCTCGTTGGATTCTTCTCGTCGAGCCGTTCGATTCGAGTATAAGCTCGTTAAAATCGGAGACCTTTTGGTAACTCAAATTGTGGTTTGAACCTTCTAACAGCGCTTCGGGTCCTTGATTTGGACCCATTTGGGCTCGGATTGGGTTGAATTTGGCGTCATTGGGTTCGTATTTCTGAGACGCTCAGTTTGACTGTAAGCTCGCTGAAATCGAAGTTCGGGGGCTTCCGAATTTAATTTTTGAAGTTTCCGGTTTGATTTTTTTCCTCAAGATTCGTGCCCGATCAAGATAATTTCATGATGAAATATAAAGTATCAAGTACTTTTTTTTGGCATTTGAATTATTGAGCCAAATTCACGAGACATTATTATGTGCTGAATCTAGATAAAAAAGAAACATTCAGTTTTGTGATTGTGAACTGTAAAAACACAGTTAATATTCACATGTACTGTGCTATTACTACTCACTTCTGCATTTTTACTGAACTTTTATTGTTCACAGTCACAAAATCAAAAGATTCTCTGTGTCCGAACTCCGCATGTAATAATTTTTCCAAACTTACTCACACATACATAAGTTTAAAAATAAAAACTTTTTGATTAATCGTCAAAACTTTCAACTAACAAATCAAAATGAATTACATAATATCAGTACTTTAATAGGACTGATCTCTTCGCATCAACAAATCAGTAATCAAATCAATACTTTAATAAAAGTTTTTGGGACTTCTTAGACAATTAAAGTAAGTACTTATATTACATAAATTTTAATTTCAGACCTCATGATTGGGCAAATTATTGCATCAGGTCACCTGACAGAGAGATTCGTTCGGTCTCTCTCTGTCTACAGTAACCTGTGCTACAGTAAAGCGCAGGTTATTATAGACAGAGAGAGACCGAACACATCTCTGCGTTCGATCACCTGACGCAATAATTTGCCTCATGATTGATAGTGAACAAGATGAGCTGTGTCTATCTCTTTAAGATACTAGTCCTTTTCACGGTATAATGCAAGAGATAAGACATTATGCATAAAATTAATTATTTTATAATTATTAGTTTATGATGCAATACATTTTTTTTGGCAATAGTGGAATATTTTAGTGAGCATTATTAATTCTTATTAATTTTTATGTTTATTTAAGCTGCCAGTAATAAAATTAAATATTTCATGAATTTTGTTGATAGGCGAAGAATAATAAATACATTTATTTAATAATATTATTAATGAATCTTGTTGGCATGTCACAAACAATAGCATGTGTCAGCAATTAAATTAGATTTATTTATTGAGATTTATGTAAGTTTTTGTTTGATATATATATATATATAGAACATAGTTTTTGTACAAAAATTTAAATTTTTTACTAAAATTTTATTTTAAAAAGCAATAAAATAGCCATCCAAGAAACCTAAATATCATAAGAGAACTGGTCTTAATATAATATTTTGGCAAGCTCCTAAAATGCTAATGTGAATTATTATATATTTTGAGTGTGAAGAACACTGCTTTTTTAATAATTGAAAAATTGTTAAACTTATTTAATATAAATATGTCAGAAATTAAAAAAGAAAATCAGCTTGGAATATATTATTTCCCTTGCATGTAGGTAATTGAGAAACATATTATTACAAATGATTTTTTTTAATTATTTTTGGGTAAAGTATCTTAATCCTCTTCAAAAATATTTTATATTAAGGCTAAAAATGGAAATAAAGATTTCTATTTTTATCGGCGTATTAGTAAAACCGAAGTTAGAGATGCTTTAAAGAAAATAAAGAATGGAAGAGCTGTTGGACCTGATGATATTCAACTAGATCGAGGTGTGGAAATGCTTAGGAGATAGAAGGAATTTTTTGGCTTACTAAAATTTTTAATACTATTTTGAAGACTAAAAAGATACCAGATGAGTGGAGACTGAGTGTATTAATTCCTATTTTTAAGAATAAAAATGATGCACAAGATTATGTGAATTATAGAGGAATTAAGTTAATGTGTCATAGTTTAAAACTATAAGAGCGAGTTATGGAGTGTAGATTGCGGCGTGATACTAATGTTTCTCAAAATCAATTTGGATTCATACCGAATAAGTCTGCTATGGAAGCTATACATTTATTGAGAGGTTTGATGGAGAAATATATAGAGAATAAGGATGATCTACATATGATATTTATTGATTTAGAGAAAGCATGTGATAAAATTCTAAGAGGAGTGCTATTTCTTGAAAAGAAAAAGAGTTAATAATGCTTATATTTAAATCATTAAAGATATGTATGTAGGAGCTCTTACTTGTGTTCAAACACAAGGTGGTTTGACCAAGTATTTTCCTATTTCGGTTGGATTACATCAAGGATCAATCTTAAGCCCATAATTTTTGCTTTAGTCATGATAACCTTTAGTCATGGATGTTATCACTAGACATTTGCAAGAGGATGTACCTTCATGTATTCTTTTTGCTAATGATATTCTTCTTGTTGATAAGACTAGAGAGGGATAGGTAAACTTGAATTAAGGAGGTCAACTTTAGAGTCTAAAGGTTTTCGCTTGAGTAGATCTAAAATTGAATATATGAAGTATAATTTTAGTAGTAATAGACATAGTGAGGGGATTGTGACTTTGGGCGATCAAATCATTAATAAGAGTTCATGTTTTATATATCTTAGGTCTATTGTTTAGAGTGATGATGAAATATATGGGGATATTATCAGTAGAATTCAAGTTGGATGGTTGAAGTGGAGGAATGCATCGGGCTTGTTGTGTGATATAAAAGCCCCCCTCAAAGTTCAGCTCAAAATTAAGGGAAAATTCTATAAGATGGTGGTGAGTTCTGCAATGCTTTATGGTGCCGAATGTTAGCCATTAAAAGATACGCATACTACAAAGTTAAGTGTTGCATAGATGAGGATGCTCAGATGGATGAGTGGCTTTATCCTTAGAAATAGAATATGAAATGAGCATATATGTGAAAAAGGTTGAAGTAGCGTTAGTGGAAGATAAGCTTAGAGAGAGTTGCTTTAGATGATTTGGTCCCATAAAACAACAGCCTTCCGGTGACCCAGTTGGGAAAGTAGATGTATTATATTTGACTTATGTTAAGAAAGGTAGAGGTAGACCTAAGAAGTCTTGGTTAGAAATATTAGAAAC